CTCAGGTCGTGAAGAACTCGAGCATCTGGCCTGGAGGGATAGTTGAAGGTAACTTTATTCAGCTCAAGCTCTCCACGGACGTGTTGAAGACAAAATTCCGTTGACTCTTCACAGTTAGTGATCGTATTCTTGTTGTCTAAAGTTTCCAGAATTTTGAACGCAGCGGCTCTTGCATTCGATATAGCAGCAATGGTCGGAGCAGTCTGTCCGAGAGCACTATGAGAAAAACGTTCAGCATCAGAACTCAAAACATAATCAATAACAGTAACTTACAAGGCACCTAAGAGCACGCAAAATATTGTAGATAGAGCTTTTCCACCGTTTGTCGTGCGGTTTCTTACGAGAATGCCACCGTACCACATCAGTAAGGCCCAAGAACACAAGGGCAATGCATACATTGCTCCCATTCCAATCCCTTTGACAAGTCCGGCTCTATATCCCAGACGTAGCGTAGAACCGAGGGCAGCGGTGTACAGACTGATCGTTTTTTGCTCGCCAACAAACGAATAGACTGTCCGAATTTGAGAAATTGCCTGCAAGTCAGTCTGGAGTAAGAAATTTAGTCTGGAAGTCTACGTACTTACTCCTTCAACGATGTTTCCCGCTTTGTCGTATTCCTTCTGGGTCTTCGATGAAACGCCAGTGATGACATGAGCGTAGAGACCTCCAGCTAGAATGACCACCGGTACGGTTGCCAGCGTCAAAAGTCCGAGCTGCCACACAGTTGCAAATCCCAATGCGATGCCTCCAAAAAACGTGGAAACGTGATGGATGAGGACTCCCATCTACGAAAGAGCAAAAGAGAGAGGGAAGAAACATCACATCTACAAACTATTGAATGAAAGCGAAAGAGATAAAAAAGAAAGGCTATTAAAGTACTCACTTTCTCGCTTATAGCCTGCTGGATGAGCAAAGTGTTGGAGGAAATGCTGCTAACGAGCTCCCCAGTCCTCGCGTCGTCGCGATCGAAGAACGAGATATCGTGCCGCAGGATTGCCTCCAAGTAGCTGATCCTGATCTTCCTGCATTGCCGCTCTCCGGTCTGGATCCAGCACGCAACCTCTGCAACATCAGAGCTAGGAATTCCTCCCATTCTTTCAAGAACAAAATCCCTCTACCTAGCCAAGACGCGCCAAAGAGGATCAATCCCAGATACAAGAAATCCAATGCCACCTGATCGATCGCGAGCACGATCACGAGAGATCACAACGAAATATCCATACCTTGGACACGCTGTGATACATGTGCCGAAGATCCTTGTCCGATCCAAGAACATGAGCCAATCGTCCGAAGGAGAAGAAGAAAATCGGCAGCGCCAGGCCGTGCGCGATGGCGCCGAGCGATCCCAGCGCCATGAGCAAGTGGTCGCATCGATCGGCAAAGAAGAAGAGCTTGTGGAGCGGCGCCAAGGATGAGGGCGGTCCATCGCTATTGAGCCCTAAAGATTTGGAGCCACTGGCGTTGGCATTTCCACTTACATTCCTTCTAGTCATTACAATGCGTATGGAACGATCAACTTTCCTCCACTGGAGGATCCCAGATAAAGAGCGTTCTAGCTCAAAGAAGAAGAACGATCGAGTAAGAGAGAGAGAGAACTCTCTTTCCAGGGAGGTGAAAACTAGAAAACAAAGAAATCTCTAAGCTTTTGCAAATTTGATTCTTCCAGCCAAGCTACACACAAAAAAGAAGAAGTGAAGATCACAGCTAAGTAGCGAGATCCCTCGCTAGTGTTTTTTTTCTTCTTCTCTTTCTTTGCGAGATTTGTCGGTTGTCTGCCCAGGATCCAGCATCTTCGACATGTGACGAGACTCGTTCATCGAACATGAGATCTTCAAAGCTCTTGACTTGGTATCAAAGAAACCAAAGAAAAACCAAGAACTTTGTCCGAGAAGTTGACAAAAAAATGGTTTTTTTTTTTTTTGTGTGTGTGTTCTTCATCAGCTAGCTCGGAGAACTGTGCTGCTGCTGCAATTTTATAAGATGCGAGTAAGCACCATCGGCTTTCGCGACGAGCTCCCAGTGACTTCCCTGCTCCACGATGGTTCCATCCTGGATCACCGCGATCTTGTCCGCGTTTCGTATCGTGGACAAGCGATGAGCAACCACGATGGTCGTCCGGCCTTTCATCAACCTGTCCAGCGCCTCCTGGACGATGTGCTCCGACTCGGCATCCAGCGCGCTGGTGGCCTCGTCCAGCAGGAGGATCGTCGGGTTCTTGAGCACTGCTCGAGCGATCGCCACCCCTTTGCTTCTGTCCACCCGAGAGCTGCGCATCCTCGCTCGCCGACGCTGTTTTGTAGCCATCC